TCTGCTCATCCACACTACCAAGAATCTTACCATTAGCCCAGTACTCTGTATTCCTGTTACTCCTTCCATGCTACTCATGCTGCAGTAAGCTAGTTGCAGTTTGTAATTGGCCGGTGTTCACCATTACTATCTTGTTTTAAGGGTAGACTGACTCAATGAGCTATACAATTCAATCAAGAGTTTTTTTCACATTATTTGTTCATGGGACATGGGTGCCGGTGGTTAGGGCAGCATTTATTGCCCATCCCTAATTGCCCAAAAGTAGTTAAGAGTTGTGGTTCTGGAGTCACATGTAGGCCAGACCATGTAAGGATGACTGTTTCCTTCCCTAAAGTACATTAGCAAAAGTTATCAAATCTCTAATAGATTCTCACATTTTCTGTTGTTACTGCTGTTAGGCTAATTGCAAAGAGTTCCGATTATCCCTCTGCCCCTTTCTGTGTCAGCATCTGTGCTGTTAAATAGTATCACTATATAAAAACACCTGCGTTAGGGTCATTACAATGGTCTATTATTAAAAACAAAATGCTAGAGAAACTCAGCAGGACAGGTAGCATCTTTTGAGAAAGAAAGGGATGGGTTTTATTCCGTAGCTAAAATTGGGGAGCAGCAAGTGGAACAAAAGGGAATACTTTGGAAGATTAGAGGACGAGGGAGATTAGTGTTCATGGGTGTCACAGAACAAAAGACAAAGGGACTAGAAATGGTTGTAGAGAAGTGATTAAGGTCCACAGTAGGTGTAATTAGCAGAACATAGGTAAGCTGTGCCATAAGAAAAACCAAGAAAACCAAACACCGACACAGAGAGGGGGATGGTAGGCATAAGGGAAAATCAATAGTCTGAAGTTGATGAATTCAGTGTTCCTATTGTAATTCTGGGAGGGAGGGGAAGGGATAAGGAATTGGCTTGGACAAGGTTGGGAACTCTGTCCATCTTAGTGAGGCATGAGAGGGGAATGCTCACAGAAAAAGAAATCATGTCGAAACTACCATTGTGAAAGGTAGGAACCAAAAGCAGACATTGCTGGAAAAGCTCAGTAGGTCTAGCAGCATTTGTGAAGAAAAAATCAAAGTTAATGTTTCACGTCTGGTGACCCTTCCTCAGAACTTCTGTTTTCGTTCCTGATTTACAGCATCTACAATTCTCAGTTTTTATTGTGAACACACGACAGGGAAACTGGGAGAATGAAATGAAGTTTTTATGGGAAGCAGAATGTGGGATAACTGTGGAGTCAGTGGATTTGTTCTGAGTATTATTGACAATGCATACTGGTTTGTTACTTATACCAGACTATATTCTATAAATAAAGCACTCAATTCTTTTAATTATAACCATCTAGAGATTGAATCTATTTCCATTTATTCCGATCCATAGGTTCATCGTAGACCAAACTTACAGAAGCTGCAGCAGTTAAACAAGACCAGGTTCAACAGTGGAAGCATTTAATTGGCTGTGGCAACAGTCCAGACCTCTTAGCGGATGGAATTTTACCTGAGGCTTTTTGTAATGACCAGTGCTCCACCATCACTTACTCATCGCCTGCACTCAGTTTCCTGGTGGTACCTGATATGAAATGGATAGAGTGCCATCTACTCACAACTGGCATTGCGCATCTTCTGCCTGATAGACTGTGTGGGAAATAGCAGCGTAGTTTATTTGAGTATTTGACATCAGGCTTTACCATGTGGAATATCATGAACTATGGCCACTTTCACTTTCAATGGTACCTGGGAGCAGGACTCCCCTTTGTGTCTGGGAACTGTCAGCTGCTGTCACAGCAAGCCATTGTCTTATGCATGTTCCACTACTACTACTTATTTATTGAATAAATAGTTTGTTAATATAAAGAAGTAAGCTGGTGTTCAGCTGATTTATCCCACATTATGCAGTAATGCATTTTGTGAGGCATTGTCACCTTCTCTCTGCTCTATGGCCTCAATTCTCCACCTTGTTTCCTCCAGTGTTTCAATGAAGCTCAAGGACCAGGACCTCAGCCAATCTGGTCTCAACACTGAGTTCAACAATTTCTGCTTGTAACCACTGTCCCTAATTTCTTCATTCACTTTGGTTTCTCCTCTGATTTTTCTTGTTGAATCTGCCATTACAGCTGTCCCGGACTTCTATTTCTTGCGCCACTGTCCTTTGAACTTCGCCCTATCAGAAATCCCTCTTCTGTTCTGCCACATGCTTAAACCAATTTCATTTCTAAGTTCCAATGAAATGTCAATAACCTGAGACACGAACTCTCTTTATTTCTAGCAATTTCTGTTTTTCTGTCTTACCTTGGCCTGGTTTTGTGCCCGTCCATTAACTGTGCTGATGGCTGAAGGCAGAAGCTCAGCTCCTGCTTCAGTGGGAGTAATATGCATGTACCTAGCTGTGGTGTGGTCTGTGATGTGGCAGGCCTAGTCTCTGATTAAATAGAAACAATGAGATTCTCTTGGGGTTTTATTAAGTCAGAGGTGATGGTCATCAGGATTGTAGAGTTCACTCGTCAGTCGGTAGATGTAGGAAGGAGCATTTCCTCCAATGTTGGAAATGAACAGAGTGATAAGTTCCGGTGGAACATAATCGAACACAGGGCAGTGAACACTCACTTTGCACAGAATCTCACCTGCAAGAAACAAACAACAATTAAACTGTCACCAGAGTGGTGTTTTGGGTGGGAGAAAAGTGACAGACAAACTCAAGGCATGAGGGCAAGAGAAAGACTGAAAGAGGTGGGAGGGGAAGAAAAGGAATCACAGCCAAGATGCAACATTCAATATCATTTGTAACTGCTCTGATACTGAAGTAGAAAGATCAATGTTTAGTGTTCGACTGAGAGGTTGCGAGCAATCCTTGCATAACAGGTGCCAGATAATGATTATCTTCAACATGAGAAAATCTAACCAGCATCCCTTGAAATTCAATGGTGTTACCATCACTGAATCCTCCACTGTCAACATCCTGGGGGTTACCATTGACCAGAAACTGAACTGGACAGCCATTTAAATACAAGAGCAGATCACAGATTGGGAATCTTGTAGTGAGTGACTGATCTGTCTGATCATTTAAAATCTACTGCCAGGAGTGACTTTTTATTTAATTCACTCACAGGTCTATGACTCTATGAATTAGGTGTCATTATCTGGACTGACAGTTATTGCTTATCCCATCCATTGGAAGTGGTGGTGCCTTCTTGAACTGCTGCAGTCCACGTGCTATAAGTAGACCCACAATGCTGTCAGAGAGAACACCAGGATTATAACCCAGCGACAGTCAAGAAACAGCAAAATACTTGAGTCAGGATGATGAGTGGCTTGGAAGGGAACTTGCAGGAGGTGATGCTTCCATGTTTCTGCTGTTCTTATCCTCCTTGATGGTAGTGGTCATAGGTTGTGTGGCGCGCACGTTACTAGTCACTTGTCCAGATCTTATTGTATTTGAACACAGACTGCTTCAGTATCTGAGGAGTCATGAATGGTGCTGAACATTGTGCAATCATCGGCGAACATCTCCACTTTGGACCTTATGATGGAGGGAAGGTCATTGATGAAGCAGCTGAAGATGGTTGGGCTGAAGACACTACCCTGTGGAAATCTGTAGAGATGTCCTGGAGCTGAGATGACTGACTTCGCACTACCAGAACCAGGTTCCTGTGTGCCAAGTATGACCCCAACGAGTGGAGCGTTTGCCCCCTGATACCCATTGATTCCAGTTTTGCTCGGGCTTCTTGATGCCATACTCGGTCAAATGCAGCCTTGATATCAAGGGCTGTGACTCTCACCTCACCTCTGGAATTCAGCTCTTTTTGTCCATGTTTGAACCAAGGCTGTAATGAGATCAGGAGCTGAGTGGCTCCGGCAGAACCTAAACTAGGCGTCACTGAGCAGGTTATTGCTGAGCAGATGCTGCTTGATAGCAACGTTGATGACATTATTCATCACTTTACTGATGATCGAGACAGGCTGATGGGGCAGTAATTGGCCAGGTTGGATTTGTCCTGTTTTGTGTGTACAGTATTACCTGGGCAATTTTCCACATTGTTGGGTAGATGCCAGTGTTGTAACTGTACTGCAAAATCTTGGCTGGGGGGACGGGAAGTTCTGGAGCACTTCCTAAGCCCTTGATTTCCATCACCCAGATGAGCAAAGGCAGCAAATATATGTGAACACCACCACCTACAAGTTTCCCTTCAAGCCAAAACACACACCATTCTGACTTGGAAATAAATCGCTGGTCCTTCAGTGCCACTGGGTAAAAATCCTGGAATTCCCTCCTACTAATGGCATTGCAGTGTACCTACAACAAATGGAGTACAGCAGTTCATCAAGGCAGCTCACCACTACCTTCTCCAGAGATGACTAGAAATGGGCAATAATTGCTGACTCAAATCAGTAATACCCACATATAATAAATGAATGCAGAATGGATTGAGAAACTGTTCTCTGTACAGTGTGCAAATCATGTCTGTAGATGATCCAATCTTCCCTTGTTTTGTAAACAAGACCCTGTCTCCTCTCTTAGGTCAGGGACCCCCTTAGACAGTGTTCCATTACCAACACATGGTGGTGAAAGGCAGTGACTCCAGTTATGTACACCAGTAACGACGGCTGGCATCAGAGAATTCATATTTACCCAAAGGACAAGACTGCCCAGATAGGATCATGTCCAATAAGAAATCTGTGGATGTAAAGGCTACGTGAGTCTAAAACAATAATGCTTTCAACTATTTCATTAACTCAGTTTGAAGACACTGTAGGACACAAAGACGCCAGATCTGTATTATTATGGCTTTGCCAAAGCCTCAAAGACAGAAAAATATTTTCTGTTCTATCCCATCTACCCCACCACCTCACTGACGTTTCTTCACAGATGCTGCCAGACCTGCTAACCTTTTCCAGCAACTTCTGTTTTTGTTTCTGATTAACAGCATCCGCAGTTTTTTCGGTTTTTATTAAACATATTGCAAAGTCTTCATTCAAGTCACCAGAGTGCAGCAAAGAGGAACTGATGTCAATCACACCCCAGGCATCATGTGCAGAATGGTGTGAATGGATTGATAGATCTCTTGCACATAACCAGCTAGTTCCTACACCAAGAATAGCCTGATGCTAACACTGTGACCAGGATCACCTACCTTCTGTGAAAGGAAGAACCTCCTGTGGTGAAACAAACTTGTGAAATGTGTTCTCCTCATTAGGAAACTGCAAAACAAAGAAAAAGATTAACAAAAACACATTAAGCAGCAAAATAAACCAGTTACAGAGTAAGGGGAATTTAAGACAGAAATGTGAAGGAATTTCTTCTCTCAGAGCAGTAAATGCCTTGAATTCTCCACCCACGGAGCTGTGGAGGCTAGATCACTGAAAACAGTTATGGAACAGGAAGATACATGTTTGAAACAGAGGAGTTAAAGACGACGAGGAGCTGCCGTCAAAGCCAAGTTGAGGCTTGGGGCAGGTTAGCCTAGATCTTATAGAAAGTCAGAGCTGAATGGCTTCCTATTGTTATGTTCTTACGAGGTACCAGTGTTGGACAAGGTCAGAAGTCACACGACACCAGGTTATTGTCCAACAGGTTTAATTGAAATCACAAGCTTTTGGAGCATTGCCCCTTCATCAGGTGCAGTCACAAGTCCTTTCTTTTAACAACTTGTCACCAAGTTGTTTAGAATCGAAGCAGAGTACCTACCTGTGGGCACAGCTTAAACATGGCAGCACAGACAATAACAGGTGTGGAGTGGTGCCTGGCTGCAAGGGCGAGTGTATGAGCCCCATTCACAGCTCGCAGTCCACCGTTAGCGAGAATGGTCTTTGTGCCAATGATCACCTATCAAAACAGCAAGGGTGAGAACAGCAGTGAAGCCCAATCCAAACAGCCTTCCCCCTGATGCACACACACACTGCACCTCACACAAACACAGGCTACCGCCAAGTAAAAACCAAAAGAACCCCCTTCCCAATCCCACAGTACCATCTCCTGCAACTGGTGAAGGTGCAACACCTGCCCATTTACCTCCTCCCTCCCCAGTATCCAAGGGCCCAAACATACCTTCCCGGTGAAGCAACACTTCACCTGCACTTCCCAGAATCTAGTCTACTGCATTCGCTGCTCATAATATGGTCTCTACGTTGGGGAAACAAAGTGTAGACTGGGTGACTGCTGCGCAAAACATTTATGTACTGCTTGCAAAAAAAACCCCGAGCTTCCAGCTGCCTACCACTTTAATACACCACCCTGTTCCCTGGCCAACATCTCTGTCTCAGGCTTGCTGCAGTGTTCCAGCAAAGCTCAGCGCAAGCTGGAGGAACAACACCTCATTTTCCGCTTGGGGACCCTGCGGCCCTCCGGACTCAATATTGAGTTCAATAATTTTAGGGCCTGAACTCTCCTATGAGCCAGCCCCCTATCCCATACACCAGGCCTTGTGATCACATAGCCTGCCATTACACACTACCTATTGTTAGCCACTAACAGTCCCCATTAACAACTATTCACCCTCCTAGCCAGATCGTTATCCACTCCTTTGTCTATTCAACTGCTCTTCTCTCTCTTCGGGCTCTATCCTTTATCCTATCATTTATTCCCCACCCTATCCCCTTCCCTATCTTCTTCATATAAACCGACGTTTTCCCAGCTACCATCAGTTCTGAGGAACGGTCACCAGACTTGAATGTTAATTCTGATTTTTCTTCATAGATGCTGCCAGGCCTGCTGAGCTTCCAGCAACTTCTGTTTTTGTTACAGACTACCGCCAAACCACCTTATACACATACGCTGCACCTCTCATGCAAGCACAGACTACTCCTAAACCCACTCACCCAAACCCCCCCTCATACACACATGCCCCTGCCTCAAACCACCCCCCAAAATTCACTCATACACACACAGTATCAGAGGGAAATGGCAGCAGTCTAAGCATCTGTGCCACAAGAGCAACAGCCCCACACCCAACCTCTGCCCCAGCACAGTCTGTGCAGGATAGGGTGGGGAAAAAGTCACCTTGTTAACGCGGGACATCACAGCAAAGATAGCTGCGTCAGTGATGACAGTTGTTTCAATCCCAGCTGCAGACAGAGCGAGTGACATCTCGTGACCCTGAAAAGAGAAAGAGAGCACAGCATAGGAGGGGTTCAAGTGAAACAAGGCAAGGGAGGAGAGGAGGTGCAGAGGGACGGAGCAGGCAACATAAATACAGAAAACAGGAGCAGGAGTAGGCCATTCAGCCGTCTCAGCCTGCTACACCATTCAATATGATCACGGTTGATCATCCAATTCATTACCCTGTTCCTATTTTCTCCCTCATAGCCTCGATCCCTTTAGTCCTAAAAACATTGCACTCCTTCTTGAAAAATTCAATGTTTTGGTCCCAAACACTTTCTATGGCAGGGAATTCCACAGGCTCACCACTCAATGGATGAAGAAATTTCTCCTCATTTCAGTACTAAGTAGCTTACCCTGCATCCTTAAAACTATATCATCTGGTTCTGGACTCCCTCACCATTGTGAACAAAGTCAGAAATCACACAACACCATGTTATTATCCAACAGGTTTATTTAAAATCACAAGCTCTTGGAGCATTGTTCCTTCGTCAGGTGAAGTACTATTGGGAACATCCTTCCTGTTGTGGTTGTTTGGCTTGCCCTCAGTTCCTTCATCGAGGTCATTAACGTACAAAGTGAAAAGTTGTCGTCCCAGCACTGACCCTTGTGGAACACCACTTGTCACCAGCTGTCATCCTGAGAAAGACCCTTTTATCCTCACTCTCTGCTTTCTGCCAGACAGCCAATCTTCTATCCATGCTAGCATCTTGCCTGTAACACCATGGGCCCTTATCTTACTCAGCAGCCTCCTTGTGGCACCTTGTCAAAGGCCTGTTTTCTGTCCATCTCAATAAACTACCCCCAATCCTGTGAGCTTTAATTTTACATGGTAATCTCTTATGTGGGACTTTTGTCAAAAGCCTTCTGAAAATCCAAATAAACCACAGCCACTGGAAAGAATCCCAGTAGATTTGTCAAGCATGATTTCCGTTTCATAAGGGGAGGCGACACTGGGAACAATGCTTTTAATAACTAAGATCCTTCAGTCATTCCCATTATCCCAGCCTCCCTAAAGGATAAAGAGTCCTCTCTCAGTCCCAACACATTCTCACTGACCTGACAGTAAGGTGCACATTCTGCGACAATGACATGGAAGCTGCGTTTTTGAGCTGCGTCTTTAAGAAACGCTTCGACAGTTGGGGAGCGTCCCAATGTCATGATGACCTCATTGGAGTGGATGTGTTCCAGGGCCTGCATTGCGATGTTATCCATTGTACCCTCTGTCAAACAACAGGCAAGCCATGAAAACACAGCCCCAGTACCAAATAAACACCTCCTCTTACCCTGACGACAGCATTTCCAGCCCAACCCGCACAGATCTTTCCCTGCATGGCACCCAAACCCCATGGTTCCTCCTTTGTCACACACTCAGAAAGGTTTTATTCCTCATTCCCAGTCTGTGCCCCACACCCCAAACCTCCAACTTCCAACCCACAACTCACCCACCCCACCCTCCTCCACACTCAGTCTGCATCCCCACCCACAGCCTCCCTAACTCCCAATCCCCATCCCTGTCCCTGTCCCTGTCCCCAGACTCCCCATTCCCCAGCCTGCTCCCCAACTCCAAGCCTGTCTCTACCCATAGCCTCCATGACTCCCAGCCTGCAACCCCGTCCCCAAAACATACCAAGCTCCACAAGAAGTTCATTAATGACTTCGATGACATTGGTTTTGAGGGGTGTGAAGCTCACACTGAAATCCTCACTCTGACTGCCTGAAGTCAGCAGCTTGTGCAGTGATTCCTGGTCCGTCTCCTCACTGCAGCCTCGAAGCCTGAAAAAACAACCACTTGCAGATTAACGTTTGCATGATGCAGCAAGAGCAGGCCCTGTTCTGCTCACTGTAAACCCTCTCTCATTCTCACTCATGAGAATCGGATGGAAAAGAAAAGCTGTTCCACTGATGGTAGAGGGGGCCCCTGATTTACAAACATCTGACTTACAAACATACGTAGTTACAAACCCGATCCCATATGTGATTGTGATTGTGATTTCTAAAGACCCAACATATGAATATTTCCTGTATTTACAAGATCAGAAGCTACACAACACCAGGTTATAGTCCAACAGGTTTATTTGAAAACACAAGCTTTTGGAGGGCTGTCCCTTCATCAGGTGTTAGTGAGAAAGAAGCACACAGAACATAGAACTTACCAGTAAAAGATCAAAGGGTCACACAACTAATGAGGATATTAAACAAACTTAAGATGCTGTTAAATCTATAATCAGTTAGAAGGTTTTAAATTGATTAATATGTATATCTAAGTCCTTAAATTTCTTTCAAGTCACTGCCCTGTATTTACAAACGGCTGCTCACCACTGTCTTGCATTGTGCTACAACGTATGAACAAATCACCTTGCGATTGCACTCCAGAATGAAACCCATTCATAAACAGGGGACAACCTGTAAATGGATCGGGGTGATCAATTATTTGTAGAGGTGCAGCATCAC